GGGGGGGGGGGGGGGGGGTCGTTTTCCTTGTTGTCCTTGATGGGCTTGAATGAAGAAAGAGTAGGGGTTGATGTTTGTCGGTGGTCCAGTGTATAGGCCGTAGAGTAGGAGTTTGGCGAGTGAATTTGGCAGTGATTGTAATCAGATTCACGTGAAGACGTCATGGTGAGAGAATTCTCTTCTGTGCTCAGGAGGGGCATGCGATACTTGGTGCAGGGGTTTTTTAGCCTATGGGTAGAGGATGGGGGCGGAGTGAGGATGGGGGCGGAGTGAGGAGAGGGGGATGGGAGAGGAGAGATGGGAGAGGAGGATGGGGAGGGAGGGATGGGGGATGAGATGGGGATGGGATGAGGGAGGGGGATATGGATAGGGATGGGGATTAGGTGGGGATGCAATGAGATGGGATTGGGATAGGATGAGGATGGGATGGGGATGGAATGGGGATGGGATGAGGAGGGGATGTAGGTGGGATGGGGAAGGAAATTGGAAAAGGGGGGATGTGGATTGGGGGCGGCATGGGATGGGATGTGGATAGGGGTTTAAATGAGGCCTGGATGGGGATGAGATGGGGATGAGATGGGGATGGGGTCGGTACGGGATGAGGATGCGATGGGATGGGTATTAAGTGGGGATGGGATGGGATCGTTTTTTCTGGATGGGGATGGAAAGGGGTTTGGAAATGGGATCGGTTCTGGGTGGGGATGGGAAGGGGTTTGGAAATGGGATCGGTTCTGGGTGGGGATGGAAAAAGGTTTGGACGTTCGGTTAAGAATTGTTTTTCATTTTGGATTCGTTTTCAGATCATGAGTCTGGATCTCCCCGATATCGAAAGGCTGAGACATACGTAATATCTTAAATAAATACAAAGTCAAAATGCCAATGATGTTGCTCTGACTTCACAGCATCGTGTTTCTGAACCCTTTTTTTTTATTCGGTTATTATGATGGGCAGGGATGGGAGGAAGGAGAGGGCCTCGGCGTAAACAAACAAGGCATAAAGTCTCATGTTCGGGCAACAAAGAAGGCTGATGTTACAGGTAAGAGAAATCTGAAAGAGGAGGTTTGGGAGGCAAAGGGAAAAAAGAAAAGACAAAAAAAAAAAGAAAACGAATGGTACCAACTGGCCTAGCTCAGTTGATACACCCCTTAACTGTTGAAAATTGAAATACAGACCCGAGTTCGAACTCCATCGGAAACAGATGAGTGAAATGGAGTGAAATGGTACAATTATATTCTGAATTACCATTTCAAGAAAGAAAGAAAGAAAGAAAGAAAGAAAGAAAGAAAGAAAGAAAAGGACGAGTCGCGTCGTTCGACTTCGTTGATAGTATCTCAAGGCTGTCACCCTTTCCTTAAAAAAAGAAAAAAAGAAAAAAGGAAAAAAGAAAAAAAAGAAAAAAAGAAAAAGAAAGGTATTCAAGGTGCACGGGTGCAGTTATGAGAGAGAGAGAGAGAGAGAGAGAGAGAGAGAGAGAGAGAGAGAGAGAGAGAGAGAGAGAGAGAGAGAGAGAGAGAGAGAGATGTGAATGAAAATTGGAGATTTTTTGAATCTGTCAATCGTTTGTTCAAGTGAGCCGAAGGGTGAATAGGTTGGAAAATGGGGGGGGAAGTGGATGGATTGATGATCATATTACTTCTTTTGCTATTGAGAATGAGCAGTAAGAGGGAGAAGGTCTGACGTGTGGGCAAAATTGCGCTGGTACAATGTGGTTTTAGATATGTAATCCTCGAGCTACATTGTGTATTGATTTTTCATATCTTGATTTTTCATGTCTTGATTTTTTCATGTATATTAGGTGTTTACAAGAAACTGTACCGAAGTGCCTTGTCCATGCATGCACACCAGGGCGAACACCTAAGGACCCTGACAACACGCCGCGACCTACCGTCTTCACCGGCTTCACCCAGCGAATAGAACGCCTGGTCATTATATTTGCATTCGGGGCAAAATTCAGTCTGAATACAGCCATAATGACCGGGCGCTCTATTCGGGTGAAGACGGTCGATGACATTCTGTATTAGGGTTGAATGGAGCATTTTGGGTTCATGCACAATTGTTCGGAATGTGAGGCTATTCCTCCTTATTGAGTCATTGATTGATTGGATTGATTGATTGATTGATTGATTTGATTGATTTGATTGATTGATTGATTGATTGATAGATTTGATTGATTGATAGATTTGATTGATTGATTACGATTGATGTGATTGATTTGATTGATTGATTGATTTGGATAGATGGATTGAGTGATTGATAGATTTGATTGATTGATTGATTGCGATTGGATTTGATTGATTGATTACGAGTGATGTGGTTGATTGATTACGATTGATGTGATTGATTTGATTGATTGATTACGATTGATGTGATTGATTACGATTGATGTGATTAATTTGATTGATTGATTGATTGATTGATTGATTGAATGATTGAGTGGATTGATTGGATGGATGGATTGGATGGATGGATTGGATGGATTAATTGATTTGGTTGATTGATTGATTTGATTGGTTGATTTGATTGATGGATGGGATGGATGGACGGAGGGATGTGGATTAATTGAGGCCTGTCATGGATTGATGGCTTGATGGCTTGATTGATTGATTGATTTGACGGATGGAGTGACTGTTGCAGTGATGGATGGGGCAGATGGACCTGTGGAAGAATTGGGAAATCAGGACCATTGATTTACGGATTAGGGGGATAGCTACTTTACCAACCCTAAACCTTCATGTATCTCTGAGAAAGAATTGGTTGACGAATGTACATGCTTATGTCTGGCATCCATTGACGACAAGATTTGTGTCTTATGGGGGTGTGTTATTGTTTCATCTTCGTGCTTGTTCTATTGACTGATTCTCGCTAGCTGGAGTGGGCCTCGTCGAGGCGCGTAAGATGGCTTCTGACTGGACATGCCATGCATCCGTATACGACAAGCTGCTCAAGAGTTTGAAATCGGTACGTCAGAGTCAGACACCCGCTAACTCTCAGTTTTTCTTTCAGCTTGGGATGGTCTCTTCACACTGCTGCTGTTGTCGTAGTCATGCTCCTCATATGCTTGCATCCCCCACGCCGGTCGTCACCATTGTCTCCGGGGCCTCGCCTCATTCGCTTGTCTGTGACCAGGTCTCCTTATATGTGTCAAATGCGTGCACTGCTTTTCCCTACTAACTTACACTAATTACTACCGTCTTCACCCGAATAGAACGCTGGGTCTTTACAGCCGTATTCGATGCAACTTTCAGTGTAGGTACAGCGATAATGACCGGGCATTGTATTCGGGTGAAGACGGTAGTAGTAATCAGTCATTGCTCTCATCATGCATTTGGCCTACTGCAAATTGCTTTTCAGATTTTCCTTCTTTCCGTTCTGCCTTTGTTTAACCCATCACTCCATAGGTATTGTGTCTTTTTTTTTTTTTTTTTTTTTTTTTTTTGTAACTCCATAGGTATTGTCAATTAACTCCTCGTCTTATTTTGAAACAGTTTTCACCTTTGGCAGTAGCCGATGCAGAGCCCAGGGGTCGATCCCTTGACCTCAGCTTACCTGTGTACAGTATCTGCACAGTTCCCTGGAGTTGAACCCGTGACCTGCACGATAGCCAGTGGTAAGTAGGTCGTCGTAGGTTGTAGGCTGTAGGGAGATTCGAACTGTAGACCTGTAAGGTAGGAGTCCAAGTAGAGTCCAGAGGCCTAGCTGTAGTCCTTCTAGAAGGTCGGCAAGTGGTCAAGTGGTGAGTCTAAGGAAGGCCCACGTTTTCAGACCAAGACAAGTGGCAAGGTCAACAGGTAGGACCTCAGTGCAACTGCACTGAGTCGACGGTACGACTGCCTACAGTCAGGAGAAGGGTCTAGAGAGTCCCAGTCCAGTCCAGCAAGTACCACAGGGGGACTGTGAGCACCAAGGGCCGATGGCAAAGGGCAGACCAACGAGTTTCTGAAGTATAAATCAAGAGGCAGCGCCCAGCCATTCATTCATTCCTGCGTGAGCCATGCGGAAGCGCTGCCACAGCGACTTGTGCAAGGAGGYCTGCAGATGAGCCCGGAGGACGCAGTGGGCAAGAGAGGAGGAGTTAGCATAGCGATAGGTTAGAGGCAGCCATAGCTGCCATAGCTGTAGTTAGTAGTGAGTGTGTGTGTGTGCTCGAGTGTTAGAGTGATGCGKGTGGGATATCCAGGGTGATCCAGTGTATGTGAACAGTGAGATGTTTGGGCGCTGAAGTCGCCATAGCCAATTGAGAGTGAACTCGTATCTGAAAGCCATATCTCTGAGTTTTGAGTGGGCGCATGTCGCCAGTATACTGCGTTGCTGTTTACATGCATGAAAAGTGTGTTTGAGAACGAGTCTGATTGCAATTTTAAGATCGCGTGTTTTAACATTGAAATGGACTTGGGGGGAAAAAAACAGAAGAGATCGAAACGGAATGAATCTGGCCGGATTGTACTCTGGTAGATGGCCAAACCCCGGAAATGAGAGCACCCCGACCAAAAAACAAACTGCCATAAGGTGCAACACATGGCAAATAACTTTTTGACATCAGGGGATCGGTACCACCTGTACGCAATTCTATCGATCAGACCTTTTTTTTTTTTTTTTTGGTCCTAATATGGAACCCTTACCCCTACGGATGGGGAAGTTTGTTAGAATGTGCAGACAAACGTCACACACCCTATGAAAACCACTACTCCCCCCTCCGCCCCCCGCCCCACCACCACCATCCCTGCGGTGTGCACACACAAATGCATGCACACACACACCCACACACACACACACACACACACACATGCACACACACACACACACAAACACAGTCTGAAAGTTCTTCCTTCCTCTCCTTCTAAGTGTTGCCTTCACGTTGTCCGCTCTGTGTGCACTTTGGCGTTTTCCCGAGTTCTTCCCGTCAGTATCCAAGCACAGCACTTTGGCGATGTGCGCCCGAACGGCATTGCCTGTTTGGTGGAAGTACCTGCAACTCTATTTGTGCGGGGCTGCTGTGTTCAGGATGCCTGTGTGTCTCTGTTTTCCCTGGCAGTGACAGAGTTTTATCTGTAGTGACTTCCCCCTGACCTTTGATGGTGGTGGCATGAACCTACAGTCTGTAGAGTTCAACTGGTGGTGTGAGTAGCGATAGTCCGATCGGGTCTGGGCTGTATGTGTGAACTGCTGTGGCCGTGCCGCCCTGTTGCTTGACGCCCTATCTACTCACCTTGCATTGGTTTGTTGCCCTGCTTCTTGCCCTTGCTGTTTCCCTTTCCTTTTTTTCTTTATACAAACGAACATCCGCCCTTTATATTCTTGGAGAAGGGAGAAGGGGGCAGTCCTGTTGCTTATCCCCGGCAAGCATAAAGCACAAGCTCCCTTTCCGTTTGCCTCCGTTGGTTGGCTTTCCATCTTCCTGCTTGCTCGTCTTGTGGATATTTGATTGGTTGCCTTGATCTCTGCCTCCAGTGAGGCCCGACTGCCTGTCTGCTGGACTCTGTGCCTGGCTGTTACTTAGCTTGCTGCTTTGTTGTTTGCCTTCGTGCCCACCTGCCCATGCTTTGCTTTGCCGCTGCATGCTTTGCCTTGCTGCTGGTGTTGCTTGCCATTGTGCTTGCCCGCCCGCCTTTGGCTTTACTGCTGCCTCATTTGCCCTGCTGCTCGTGTTCTCTCCTGCCTGGTTCACCTGCCTGGCTGTCCGCTCGCAGCAGGGGTCAAAGCAGACTGGGACTTGCAACAGGGGTCAAAGCAGACTGGGACTCAAAGCATTAATATGGGGATTCTTGCAGACTGTTGGGGGTTCAGACACCCTACGACGTGTCGGGAGAGTCTGGCAAAACAGTCTGTTATTGATACCTTGCCTTCTCTGTCTGTTTCTTTTCTTACTTGCCACATTACTTGTCTATTTTATCCTTGCAGCGTTTTACGGAGTAGCTGTCGATGTGGTTTGCAAAAGCATTTGGAGTGGCAAATTCCCTCAATGTGCTCTATAGCGTGCAAACTGTGCGAGCAAATCATTCAATATATAGTTCAGTCCGATCAACGTGCAAAGTGGAGAATGTGAACTTGCAAACACATTGAAGCAAACCACAACTCTTTCCCCTCTCTCTATGGTTGGCTGTGTGAATGGTGCGAACAATCCTTCAAATTATGAACAACATGGGAACTGGAGCATGTGAGCAGATTGGAGCAAACAGCATCTTTCTCTCTCTCACTCACACACACAAGCACACAAGCACACAAGCAGACAAGCACACAAACATGCACACGAGCCAAGGACAGCGTGCGACCGAGTGAACTTGCGGATATGTCAGTCAAAACTACAGGTCTCTCCCTCGCTCTCTGTGCTCGACTGTGCAAACTTTGCGAACAAGTGGAGCGTGTAAATGCATCAAAGCGAACTGCATTGCTCTCGTGCCACGCAGACATGCCAAGCACATGGTTTGGGCATCGATTCAGGTCTGCACTTGACTGTGTGAACTGCGTGGGCAACCGTGATTGGTGGTGCACATCACCATATGCTGTTGAGCATACATGGCATGTGTGCAGGTCTCCACACACACACACACACACACACACACACACACACACACACACAGAGAGAGAGAGAGAGAGAGAGAGAGAGAGAGAGAGAGAGAGAGAGAGAGAGAGAGAGAGAGAGAGAGAGAGAGAGAGAGAGAGCTCCGTTGTTTCCCCTAGCTAACAATATTAAATATTCCATCCTGGCAGAATTTGAACTGGCAACCTGATTTTTAACAGGCATATGTGTGTATGACTCAACCATGTGGCTGGTGGGGTTAATGCTTCTTCTCGGTGGTTTTTGCTCGCATCTATCATCAGATGATTCAGATCAATGTCTTTGTCTTTTTGTTTTGTACTTCTTCCTGACATCACCGCGGATGCTGCACTGTGTTTTTTGTTTGTCACATGCTTGCTGTCTTGGCGAATGGCTGAAGGTGTATGAAACCTCAGGTTGGTGACAGTCCTCCATCTGACCTGCTCCCCTCCCCCTTCTGCTTGTTATGCTCTGGGGGCATGCTACCGTCTTGACCCGAATGGAACGCCCGGTCATTATAGCTGTATTTGGGGCAACTTTGGCATTCTATTCGAGTGAAGACGGCAGTCTTTCTCCGTAAGCGTTCATTTTTATTTTTTAACAGATAGATGTGAAGGATACCACCTCCGCATCTGTTAAGATGTCGGGAAAGGGGAAAAAGTCCACGATCTGATCTGCTGTCGTATTATTTGTGCTTTGACCGAACCACTCTTTTTTTTTTTTTTTTCCGGACTGAATGCTCATTCGGTCGTATTTATTTGTCGACAAATGCCCGCATGCCTCCTTGGCCTGCACATCTCATGTGCTAACTATTTTGCTGCTGCTAAGATCATCTCGTTTTCGATGGCGTTGGGGTCATCTCATTTTCGATATGTGCTCGGAACGTGGGATAGGAGGTGCGGAAAAAAAAAGAAAAAAAGAAAGGAGAATGAAATACACACATATGCAGTACAGCAGGGATTTCACATTTGAAAATGAGATGATGTCCACAGCAAAAAAAAAAGGAAGAAAAAGGAAAGCCGCATCCTTCCAGACATCCGTTGAAATTGGAATGGCACAGAGAAGATTGGCCATGGCCCTTGCACAAGGACGACACGCATAAATTGAGAAATGATCCCAAATTGAAAGAAAATAAAATAAAATCGGAAAGCCGTATGATCATATTGACATATTTGGATTACTGTATGAATTAATGAAAAGAACAAAAAAGATGCATGAAGACTGATGGGCGAACAAGCGTCAAAGGAACTCCAGACTGAAACACAAAAGAGGGACTACTACCAGGAATAGAAAAGAGCCAGGACCATGATTCCCCTTTTCCTCTTTTCTTTTTCAAAAACGCTAGGGAGAACTGAGAGAAGAGAAGACAGAAGAAGATGAAACGCCACTCTCTCTCTCTCGCTCCCTCTCTCTCTTCTGAGCACGTATCCTGATTGGGGTAGAGATCAGGGGACCCACTGGAACAGGAAGAGGAGTGGAAGAGAAAGAGGGGGGGGGGCGGGGGGGACCACCAAACCTCAAAGCACATTGACTAACTTCCAAAGTTCGGAGAATGCATGTTGGCTGAGAATGTATTTGACGGAGAGTCATCACGGCGGGCAAACCTTGAAGCTCATTGGCTCTCACCTCTGCAGTTTGGAGAACGCACCTCTGCCCGGAACGTATTCGACAGAGAGTCTTCATGGCGGGCACTCGATGAATTTGAATTTCAAAAACGTCATGCATTGGATTCCTTAAGAAACTTAATTGGTGCATGGGTCCTGGAGACCATCTCACGCAAGTGTGTACATGCCATGCATCGTTCTCCCACACACAACGAACAGTAGTCTGATAATAGACAAAGGTAGAGAAGATGAGAACCGAGTTTCACAGCTTATATTATCAAAAATATGAATACAAAGTGTTTCAAAGTTTCCCTGAGTCCAGCGCTCATCAGCGCAACACCAATATCTTGCCAACTCATCAATATGCCTTCCAGTGAATCAGTGCTACCCCTGCAGATAGTCTCCAAGTCATCAATGTGGTCACCACTCATCAATGCCACCTCTGCAGATCACATCCAACTCAGGTAAGTATCTTCCATAGCCAACCTTGAATGAACACTCTCAGCCTCAATCCCTTCCTCTTATGATGCATATTCACTCTTCAATACTCATGAGGATCTACTCTGGATACTACTCATAGCTACATACTAACCCTCTACTTCTAATGCCAACTCGCTGGGCAGCTATGGCTGCATCACTTCCAGCGTACAGGCATCTTCCTTCCTCCAGCGCATCTTCTCCTCCAGCGCTGCTCCTCCTGACTCAGCGCACAAGTGCACCAGCACTTCCACGCATTGGCAGCCAGTGGAGATCTGGGTAGGAATGAGGCTGGCTGCCTCCTTTATACTCCTCGCTGGGTCTGTATTGACTCAATCCAGCCTTCCTTTTGTCCCAGACCCTGTATTGCATGTGTCCCAGTAGAGTCCCAAACGAAGTTCAACTGCTGCTGAGGCCTCCCGGCCTGAATTTGGACTTGAAAGTCTGGATCTGGACTGACCCCTGGACTTAGACCAGAACTGGGACTGTGCCTATTGACTTTACTTTCGGACAGGCACAACTCTCAACGAACAGACACATTTACTGTTTGAACAGACACTTTACTTGGCACGAACAGACACACTGCCTGCACGTACAGACACACCCTTACCCAAACAGACATGACATACACATCTCCTGGTGAACAGGTAAGTCTTTTGACAATGCCCTTTGCCTTAGTTTTAAATATGCCTGTTGATAGAGAACTTGACCTTTGACCTGCTTTCACGTTTCTGAGCTCTGACGAGATACCTTTTCACAATGCTTTACTTTTTCAAGGCCCGTGCTGCTTTATTTTTACAAGGCCTGAGGCCTATATCGGGTAAAGGCCCTTTTATGGGGTTCTTATTTGACAGAATTGGCGGGGGGGGGGGGGGGGGAAGGAGGTGGGGTTTGAAGGGTGTCTTGAACCGGTTTGAAGGGTGTCTTGAACCCTATTATAAGTATCAGTGACAGTTAATCTCTGATTGTGTTCTTATTCGATAAAATTAGGGGCTGAACGTGGCGTGAACCATGGACAAAACTAACTTCTTACCTGTATTTGGCGTGTCTTTCAGTCTACATACAGCTATAATGACCGGACGTTGTATTCGGGGGGAAGAAGGTAGTCTCTGAACCCTTGCCAAATTAGTCTCTGAACCCTAATGGGATTGTCATCTGACGATGGCACCCTCGTCGTGACTGCATGTAACCTCACAGAGTGTATACATTCGGGATTATCGTGTTTGGGGGAAGATTGTTGGGGTTCAGCATGTTGGGTTCCCGCTTGTTTCTGTTTGACAGCAATTAGAGGTTGAAGGTCTCTTGCACCTTAACAAGTAGTCTTGGAAGCATGATGATTGGGTTGCTGCTGATTTTGGTTACTGATTGGTTCGGCGGACTTCCAACCTCCTTGTTGACGTTTGATGTTAAGCAGCAGCTCCAGGTGCAAAGAGGGATTCCGATGACGATGATTCCGACTCCGACTCAGATATTAGTGAAGAAAAGGGTGTGGTGGATGCTGCTAAGAAAAACTCCGAAAAGGTCGTCGTGGAAGAGACAAAGAAGATTACGCGACCACAGGGCAGGTGGGCACACAACACCCTTTTTCTTCACTAATGGGCAGATTATACAACAATATCGGCGGCCATTGCCACCATTCACATTTCTTGCACTGTTTTCTGAACCCTCTTTTTTTTTTCTACAGTGTTGGGATGCTCGTAGAAGGTGATCAGCGTCCCCTTTATGAACACAACATTTGGTCAAACTAATTGACACAGCAAGGGGTCAACTGTTTGTACCTCGGGACATCATAGCCGTTAAAATCGAACGATACAGAGAATGAAGATTAGCTCTCTGCCTGTCTCTCTGTCTGTCTGTCTGTCTCTGTCTTTGTCTCTGTCTCGCTGCCTCTCTGTCTCTGTCTCTCTGTCTCTCTGTCTCTCTGTCTCTCTGTCTCTCTGTCTCTCTGTCTCTCTGTCTCTCCCCCTCCCTCCCTCTCTCTGTCTGTCTGTCTGTCGGTCGCTCGGCCGGTCTCTCTGTCTGTGTCTGCGTCTCTGTCTCTGTATTTCTGTCTCACTCTCTCTGTCTCTCTCTGTGCCTGTCTGTCTGTCTGTCTGTCTGTCTGTCTGTCTGTCTGTCTGTCTGTCTGTCTGTCTGTCTGTCTGTCGGCTGCTCGGTCAGTCAGTCGGTCATCTCTTGGTCAGTCAGCGGGAACTCACTCCAGTAAGTTTCTAGCGAATCCACCCTTCTTTCTAACAGCATACTAGAAAGTTGGCTTCCTTGTGAAGAGTCGGGCTTTGGACGTTTCTCATAACAATGCTTGATGGAAGAGGAGGGGATAGGAGAGGATAGCCTGTGAAGAGGTGTATGAGCCTATGAGGGGATGGAGTGTGAAGAAGTGTACGAGGGAATGAGGTTCAGGAACAGTGCCAGTCGTAGTGTGGGTTGTGCTCATGATGATCAGTGATTTACACTTTACCCGATTCTTACATTCGGTGTTTGTTTCGTTCAGCTTTTTTTTGTTAAAATTCCTCCTCCTCCTCCTCCTCTCTCTCTCTCTCTCTCTCTCTCTCTCTCGTCTCGCTGACTTGATACGTATGCGTCGTACGGTGAATTGGAGTGAAGAATGGCTCTGAACATCTGAAAGTCTGTATCATCACCGACACATGGGCATGATTGAATGTGGAAGCACTGGAATTTCAATCTTTTTGGGCTTGGTGTTCTCATCAAACAAAATTTGCCACATATGTGATTGGATTTGGATGTTCACCAATTCTTTCCTTCTTTCTTTGTTTCTTCTGTTTTTATTTTGTTTATTTATTTTTTATTTTTAATAAAGGAACATCTGCAAGGGGTTGACTAGTGGGGGTGGTACGGGCAGCCTCCACTAGAGGGCACACCTCTTATCGACGACTCCTATATATTGGCGGAGAGCTTCACCAATTCGTTTCGTTATGCGAGCAAATTTTGAATTTTCCCCACACTGGTCCTAGTTGTTTGCTTCTAGTCCGATTTCAGATTCAATTCGCTTCCGAATTCTTCGGGATGGAATTGCGGTTGTTGGTAGGTGATGGTACACACTTTTTCTTTCTTTCTTTCTTTCTTTCTTTCTTTCTTTCTTTCTTTCTTTATTGATCATGCACGCAATGGAATGTCACCGCTCTGTAATTTGCCGGTTCAGCCTTGTTGTGTGCGTTTGGTGTTCTTAAGGGCATTCTCAGACTAGGAGTTTCCTGGATGTATGTGACCACAACTACGGCCAGATAAGGATGTATCTGACAACGAGTACGCTCAGAGCTCAGTTGAAAAAGTTTCTAGTGCGAGTACTCCCTTACACGGTGGAGTGAGCGGCAGGACGAGGGCACTATGGGGGTTTGAGCCCTTGACCTTCCACCAACCCATGCTGTCCGTCTTCGCCTTACCTGCTAAGCTGACCTTCTGTTCATTCTACAGCTTTGCACAGTGAAAAACATCTTGTGAAAAAGTGAGGGATGTAGGGAAGGAGGGGCTACTGCCTTTGCCCCATGCTCTTCCCTCTCAGGTTGAGCATCTAATATTCAATCTACAGTCGTTATGAATCCGTACATCTGGGCCTCAGCTCTCCTCCGTGCAAGCACAGATTTGAACCAGTGATCTTAACCACTACAGCCAGGGCATGGTGTTTTGAAGATTGGAACCGTACCGGTCCGGTCGTGGGGATATCTGGCCCACCCCTGCAAGGCTGTAATGTCCAAACTCTACACCATGACCTGTCCAGTGCTGCGTCAAAGCAACCTGGCACTTGGGACCCTACCACCTTAACCCGAATAGAACGCCCAGTCATTATAGCTGTATTTGGGGCAACTGTCAGTCCAGATTCAGCGATAATGACTGGGCGTTTTATTCGGGTGAAGACGGTAGCCCTCCTACCTCTCCCTTTCCTCCTCCCCCTAGCCTTCCCCCCAGACCAGCACTGCCAGGACCACAGTGAATCGTAAACATCAACACTGAAGTCTCTTTAAATCTTGCAAAGATTAAAAAGTAATTAAAACAAGAAAACATCCGTTCAAATTGGAACAAAGCAGAGAAGATTAGAAGGGCCTCTACGCAAGGATGAGCCTTCTGGATTGAGAAATGCTCCCCCCCACCCCCCACCAAAAAAAAAAAAAAAGAAAAAAAGAAGAAGAAGAAAAGAAAACAACATTAACCATGGTGTGGGCAGGCTGCAGTACTAAAAAGGCCAATGCACAAAAAAAGACAGATGTAATGACCCGGCCAAAACACAGACTGAGAACACTGCTGATTTCTGGAATTTGTCAATGGAATGAATGCCTTGTTGTGATTCCCGCATTCTGCTGTGGTCGCAAGTCTGTGTGTGTGCGTGCCTGCTGGTTTGCATGCCTGTCTGAGTGCTTGCCTGTGCGTGCCTGCTGGGTTGCATGCCTGTCTGAGTGCTTGCTGGTTGGGTATGTGCGTGACCCGCCAGGGTACTTGTTGGTTGCAAGGCCCACCGGGCCGGTACTTACCTGTGGCCGTGACTTTGAAGGGTTGCAGGGGGGTAAACATGCCGGTAGCGGGGAGTAGGCCCACGACACTTAGAGCAGCTGGGGAAAAACACTCAAGTAGCAGGTAGGCCGAGCAGAAGAAGACAAAAAGTTGGCATTTTTAGA